ATGAGGATAGAATATAAAAAAACAAGAAGCAGAAAACAGGATTTAATACTAACTTAAATGTGTGAAAGTTGCAGGTTTTAAATATTATTTTTTGTGAGGATAACAATAAAAGAAACACTCCTCGGAGGAAGTATAAGGCTATAAGAGTTCCAAACGTGTGAGAAAAAAATCAATTAAAAACTAAATTTACAAAAAAAAAACTGTAAAAGATTTTCTACGAATATTAAACAAAAGCAGTGCGAGGATATTAAGAAGAGTTTAACTTTCTTTCACCGGAAAAAAAACGAAAAAAAAACTTACCTCAAATTAAATCCAAAAAGTGCTTTTAAAAAGTTCGATTAAAATCTCTTTACAATACCGCCATGAGATCCTTGCGTTTATCCTCGCTGGCCGCGCTCGCCTTCGCCGCCTGCCTCATCGGCCTACTGCAGCTCTGCACGACCGTCAACGCCGATTATCCTGGCGTCATCGAGCTAGTCGGCTACAGCAATCGGCGCGCACGCACGCATTACATGCCACCAGCTGGCGATAATCCCACACTCGCCCCACCGCCAGCCAAAATTCAAGCCGACATCGAAACGGTCAAAGCGAATATCGAGAAGTACAACAAATTACTAACTCTGGATACGAAAAATTTACCCGAATCACAAAAGGATATGCTGGAGCGTATAGTTGAACGTGTGGCGCGTCTCAAAGAGTCGCTAGACATCGATGATAGCGAGCGCCTGGCAGCGTCAGCTAAGCCCATCGCGAGCGACGCCACACCACCGGCAGCTACTGACGCCGAAGGCAGCGAGACATTGGCTGCTAAAACGACTGGCATTACCACAGAGGCCTCTACCCAAGCCGAGGCCGAAACCGATCCAACGCTAGTCTTGGACGAGACTACACTGCTGCACTTGCAAACCTCCATGGATGAGCTGGCCGTCGCACAGGCGGCAGTGACGGCACAAACTTCGATTGCACGCGACTTGCCCATGCCCACCACCACAGAATATAACTTCAATATAGCGCCTGGCAGCGACGACGACAATGCCGGCGGCGGCGGCGGCGGCAGCAGCAGCGGTGTTGAACCAACGGACAGTGGCACAGATAGCAGCGAAAATGAGGACACCACCGAGAGTTTGCTGACAGCAGGTGGCACAGCCGCCGCTGATTATCCCACCACTACTGTGGAACCATTCACCGATGCCACTGATGCTGATGATCAGTTTGTGGCAGCACGTTCCAACAACAATATTGCTGCTGCCTCAATACGAGCCGAATCGGAGGAGTCGACGAGCAGCAATGGAGGTGGCAACAGCGGCAGTGGCATTACCACAATTGGCAGCCAGCGTACACTCACCACTAGCGGCAAATTGACGAAGACGCGTGCCACTAAACGACCCGGCTCTGGAGGTATTACCAAAACGGGCATACCAAAGCGAGGCCAGAAACCAGGCGGCACAACTGCTGGCGTACATCGCAATAAGCAGAAGTTGGCCACCACTACTACGCAACCATTGCAGGCTTACCAACGTCCACAGCCGCAATATCAGCAGCCGCAAAAGCAACCACAATTGCAATACCAGAAGCCGCCACAAGCATCGCCACAATTGCCGCTGTCGGCCACTTCGCCCTTGTATCAGGCGTCGCATAAAGTTTCCGTGCCGTCATCGGCTGCAACATTTGCCACAGATAAGACTTCTGCTGCAGCTGCTGCCGCCGCCGCCGCCGCCTCCGCCGCCGCTGCGTCCACAGCAGCCGTAACATCTGCGTCCGGGGGCTACTCTTCTACACCCATCACCACAACATTGGCCAATAACTATGGCAATGTGAACAACGATATGGACTACGAGCCGCAAGTCAATACGTCGGCGTTAATTGATAGCCTGAATAATGCACGCGAAGAATTCTATTTGCAGAAACAAGGCGTCAGCAATAAGGATAAGGTGAGTACAAAAATGGACGAGGGGGGGGGTAGCGTGATGGGTGAGCGTACTAAATACTACTTGCGACAGCACGTAGTAACTTTTCCTATGCGTGAGTTATCGAACAGTGAGTGAGAAGTGTATTTATGTGAAAGAAATGGTGTCAAACGTTCGGAGAAGCGGCCATTGGCTGAGATGTCTGGCATGGATAGGCGCTGGCGAAATATATTTTAAGACACATTTACACACCTTCAACACGAAATAACTAAGCTAGACTTCTACATAAATGCAGACAAGCATGTTTTGGAAAAATTTAGACATTTTTCTGTTTTAATTAACCTACTTCAAAAAAAGGAAGAGCTTATCAATTCGTGGGAATATATAGTAAATTTTTTTATCTGTGTTACCGCATAACTTTGGACCACGTTAAGCGATTTCTATAATTCGTTTTTTAAAGGAAAAGTGGTACCTCAGAGGTGGGTGATCCCATACTAATTAAGTTAAGATCCGATCACTGGATCATGTAGGTACTCTTAAAATTTTATATGAGAATTGAAGTCGGTTTTGGTTTTTGCTTAAAAATAAATTGTCGAAAAATGTTTCACGCACGCCACAAAAGAAAGCAGAAATTTTTGGAATAGAAAATTTGAAAAGAAAATGTATGCTTTTTTCGTATTCCAAAAGTTTAAAAATGTGTCTATTTTGTGTTCTATTTATGAATTGGTGAAGTATGCACGCACATAGAGATGCATTTCTGTTTAAATTAAAATACTTCGTGCGGCAGTAAAATTTACAACCACAAAATCAATATATTCGCAAAACTAGGAGTCAAAAATAGTACAACCTCGTTGTAGGTTTTCCTGCTGGTGTCAGGATTTTTCTAAAAGAACTTTGATATTTCAAAGATTTGATGAATTAAAAAAAATAAAAAATAAAAAAAAAATAAATAAAATAAAAATAATAAAAAAAAAAAATATCGGTACCAAATAAAAGAGAAAATTCACTAGAATTAAAAAAGATTACAGTTTCGGGTGCAAAATGACGATTGGCAATTCAAAATTTTATCCTTGAACTTCCTTAAAAAATTTTCATAATTAAGTTTTTTAAAAAATTGAGCTGACCCAATTCGGAATACTCCCAGGGAATTTGACCTCGGGGAGTTTGTTTCTCCTCCAAAAATTTACTCCCGGGGATTAGCATTTTCCCCGAAAATTTGGGAGGGCGAAACTCGCGTTTCTGAAGAGCTGTTTGACACTTTTCTGAGAGCTCAATTCCGCCATTTCATATAAAAAATCTTCAGGGAATTTTTATTCATGTTAAGGGAAAGGGAAAACTGAGAATACTCTCAGGGAGTTTCTGTTCGCAATCGACCTGTATATGTTAAGGGCTAATATGCACATTACTACATCCTTGGTTAACTCAAAAATTTGTTTAGAACGATTAAAACTATTAGTATCAAATAAAAGAGAAAATTCTGTAGCATTAAGAAAGAGTAAAGTTTCTTGGCGCATAAGGACTAATAAATATATATTCAAAATGTCCTTTTAAAATTTTATCCTCGAATGTCCTTAATATTTATGTTTGCATATATTATTTGCTAAGAACTAATATTCACATCACTACATTTTCGAATTTCGTTCATCTAACTTTAATCGTTAAAAAAGGAAAAAAAAACAAAAAAATGTATTCAAAGATCATTTCCAATACCTATTCGTCCTTGTGAACCAAAAATATATAATTTTCTTTGTCTTTCTTTATATTGTTATTCTACATTGCACTGCATTTTTAAAGAATTTTTGGAATTAATCATATTCTTTAAATTTCAAAGTCCTTTAAAAAAATATCTTTAAGTCAAAGAGCAAAACTCAAAACGCAGTTTCGCCATATTTGGTCCATGGTTACGCGAGTATATTGATTGTTTTGTGTATTTTGAAATTGAATTAAAGAAAGGATATGTTCTGGGATTACCGTTACGTTTTAAAATAATATTTCTCTTAAATCATATCTGTGAAGTTTAATAACCTAACAGTTTTCAGTGGGTTAATATCATTTACTTCGGTTAAACCATCAACGAAAGTTTTGCCTAGCAAAATATTTTTTTATTTTCACCTTTATTTCAACATAGATTGATTAAAAGAAAGTACCGATAAAAATAAAATATTTTACTCAAACAGGATTGAAATTTTGATATTCTTGCCCGTATTTTGTTTGTAAGCTGTGTGCAAAACCCATTTAATTTTTGTGTGGTAGAATCGGCAAAAAAATGTGGTAGATTTTCCAATTCATAAATCACAGAACTCAAAAATTAGATCGGGAAATAGTATAACTTCTTGTGGATCGTACAGATCGTAAACGCAATTGATACAAAAACAAAACAGAGAATATATTCACGAAGCAAAAAATTGTGCAAATCGTAACCCAATTGTGTGAAAACCCAAATATTTTTCTTTGTCCCAATCACGAAAAAGAATTTGTTGAAATTTTTCAATAGAAGATTGCTGTATTGTCCAAATCTTTTGACTACAAAACAAAACTGTCGCATTTTTTTTTATTTTGTACCAATAGCGCAATATAAAAATGCACAAATCTGTACAAATGTACCCATCGAGTGACACTGCCTTAGAAATTTATGCAATTAAAAGAAAAAAAAATGCAACAAATTTTCGTAAAAATTTCGAGTTTTTAATTATGCAGTATGCAGTTTTGTAGCCCATTGAATTCTAGCAGAATAAAGTACAAGCTTCAAATGGCTAAAAATTACGGTTGATTTTTTTGAATTTTTAAAAAAGCTCGAAATTTGTACGAAAGTTTGTTGAATTTTTTTAATATTGCAAAAAGTTGATAACTTGGATTTACACAGGAACACCTAAACACCTTTCCCCCCTGCCCCCCTAAATACAGCCTTGCTTGGTGTACAAGACTGGCGGTAAAAAATTGGTTAATGGTACAAATCAAACTTTCAAACCTTATACAGAATTCAGAAAAATTCCATAGATTTTCATAAAAATTTTGAGCTTTTTAATCAAAATTTTTATAAAATTGTTGGTTGTGCAAGGCTTATTAAATTTAAGTAAAATAAGTGCACGTATTGAGCGGCTAAAAACTTAAATAGATTTTAAATATTTATATATTTTTTTTTTTGTTGAGTGCGACTGCACTTAAATGTGCATGACCGCTTTGGAAATAAGTTAAAAAATCAAAGCCAGTTTTAATAAGATGCACTTGTTATATGAAAAAAAAAAAGACGTAAAAACCGTCAGCAAAAAAAAATATGTTATATATAAGCCTTGTAACCAGTCGCGGATTTACCGTAAAGCCAACATAGGCAGGTGCCTAGGGCGGCAAAATTTAGGGGCGGCAAAATTGAGTTGAAAAAAAAATTTTTTCAAGTTAGCTGCACTGATATTATTTAAATGATAATATCTAAAAATACTAATTCAGTATTTTTGAGATTATAAATTATCAAGTGAAAAAAGTTTGTTGATGATGGCTTTCTTTAAAAGTCGATAACCTTTACTCAAGGCAAATACCACTTTTTCATATTAAATTGTAATAAAAGTATAGTAAATAACATAAATTTGAATAATATTTTTTACTGCTTGTCGTTCCAAAATTGGTACTTTAATCTCAAAATATTTTTCTTATCGGAAAAAGGGCGAATTGCCTAGGAGTGACAAATATTCAAAACCGCCAATGCTTGTAACTGCATACCCAAAAAATTGTATAAAAAGTCTTATTAAAAAGTTCAAATTTTTCATGAAAATTTGTTGAATTCTTCTAGATTCTGGTTTTGGTTAAAGAGTGTACCATATTTTTATAAGAAAATAACAAAAAATGTAGCTTGGAAAATATTGTACATATTAAAAACAAAACACCATTTATCCAGTTTTGACCGCCAGTGTAGGTTAGAGGTAGAAGAACCGTCTCTCTTCGGGCTAGCTAAAGGCAATGTGATATTGAAACTTAAAGCGAATAAATGTACATGTACCTTAGTCTGATTGATCTAAAATCTTTGAGCAATGTATGTCGGTTTCGTGTTAGAGGTTGGGTCGCAAGCTTTGCGCATAATCCATTCTCTGGATGCTCGAACGGCATATAAAATTATTTTTTTCAGTTCAAACGGTTTTCATCGTTTTTTTTTTGTAATCTAAGAACCAGAATTTTTAAATAGTAAAATAGGGCGAAAAGTAAAACTAGTCCGCGGCGATGATTTCCCTCAAAGGATTGCGATTTGAAATCGGTAGCTTTCGCTGAAATAGAATGTCTTGTATGTACTGTATGTGAGTACGTACGTAAGTGTCGCTTAAATTATGAGATCAACAGTGCAACAGAGTGAGTGCATACAAACAGTAAATGGCAAACCTTGACAACAAAAGCACAAGTAATAACAGTAAGAACAGCGGACAGCGGACAACGATTGTTTGAACAGCAATACAACAAAAATATCAGTAGCAACGGTAGCAACAACCACAAGCGCAAGAACAACAAAAATCCGATAGTCGTGTATAAATAGCAAGCAAGCCATTGTTTTGGTGAATGCCACTTGTTGCATCGAACGTAACCGTTTTACAAGTGGCAGCAGCAGCACCACCACCAGCAACAGGAATACATAGATACAGATACAGATACCGAAACAGAAACAGCAGTAGCAGCAACAATCATTTGCTGCGCCACAACGATCGCTACAACTGCATTTTTCTATTATTGCTGTATTTTCATGATTGTTTTTATTGCACATGGTATGAAATGATTGCGATTGCTGCACTGACTGAACCCGATGGCCTTTCAAATGTTGGCTAAACATAAAATGGAGGCAAGGAGCCAAAGGCGTAGCAGAGCAAATGTTATGAAGAGATACATATGTATGTATAAACATAAATCTATGTATGTATACATATGTACAGTGACTCAAACAAATGACCACGTGTTTTTTTTTTTAATATTCGAAATATTTTTCCAGCTAACTTTTTTTTTTAATTTTAAATAAAAATATCGTCTAAGCTTTCACCAAAAACCATGTA